ATGCTTCGCCCACACTCTCCAGCTGGTGGTGCATGAAGGGCTACTGACACAGAGAAGTGTGAATGATGCACTGGCGAATGGTAGGAAGATAGTCGTGCATTTCAAACACTCGCCACTGGCTACTGCATGCCTGAAGGATATTCAAAATAATCTCCAAATGCCCACCAAACGTCTGCACCAAGACGTAGCAACGAGGTGGAACAGTACCTACTATATGGTCGAGAGGTCAATTTCAGCATATGGAGCTGACCACGACCTGCCAGTGACCCTTACGGCTAACCAGTGGGCTTTACTGGAAAAAACAATCACTATTCTGGCACCATTTGAAGAACTGACCAGACAGATGAGCTCCTCCACCTCTTCTGCAGCTGAAGTCATCCCCTCAGTCACAGTGCTGAAACGCCTGCCTGCTCAGGAGAATGAGGGGGACATGAGGATAAAAACCATGAAAACAACCCTTCTTGAGGCTGTCCAGAAAAGATTCAAGACCATCGAGAATGAGCCCTTGTATGCAGTTGCCACTCTTTTAGACCGACGATTCAAAGACAGGTATGTCTAACATTTTTATTAAATGTCTATATTATAAACAAAATTTTGAAATGGTGTTTTGGATAACTAGATATTGCATTATTGATTACTATTGCATTAATATGTTACCACTAAAAACTACTATGGAGGAGGTTGTATATTTATTTTACACATTAAGACATTTATTTATTATTTTTCATTGTTGTTTCAGATACTTTACAGGTGCAGACAGCATCAAGCATGCCAAGGATGCTCTGATCCAAGAGGTGGAGAAGATGGAGGCGTTACTGAGCAGGACCACACCTGAGGGAGCAGAGACAGTGCCAGAAAACCCCCATAAAGCCCCACGTATGGAAGCACAGCCAGACAGCAGCAGCAGCAGCAGCAGCAGCAGCAGAAAGAGCAACTTGAAAGGCCTGTTTGAGGAAATCCTGCAGGAGCATGATGAGGAATGTGGGACTAGTAGCACAAGCACACAAGTTCAAATACAGACGTATTTGACAGAGCAAACGGTCCCACGCTCAGACAGCCCATTCCAGTACTGGGGAGTCAACCAAATTCAGTGTCCCACCCTGGCTGCCACTGCTGCAGAGTTTCTCTGTGCTCCTTGTACCAGTGTTGACAGTGAGAGACTGTTCAGTGCAGCGTCCAACATTGTTGATGCAAGAAGGAACAGGCTAGAAGGAGAGAGGGCAGAAATGCTTATCTTCTTGCCTTTGCTCTTGAAATTATCAGCAATAATAAATTGCTAAAAATGCTACTGCAATGTGTAGCCTACTTGTTTTAAAGTATTTTTTGTTTACTGTGTAGCTGCTGCTCTTTTGATTTGTATTTTTTTTTTGTTTACTTTATAGGTTGGTGTTGCACTGTTGTTAAATACTGCACAATTTAAAGATTTAAATGCCTTTTTATTTTAGTACATAATGGCTGCACTTTATTTTTCTTTTAATAATTATTCCTATATTTATTTAGTTAAGTTGCTGTTGAACTACTGTTTTATACTGTTCTATTTAAAAACGTAAATGCCTTTTTTATTTTACAATATGGTGGATGCACTTTAATTTTTTTTTTTTTATAATTATCCCTATATTTATTTAGTTAAGTTGCTGTTGCACTACTGTTTTATACTGTTCTATTTATAAATACATCTTAAAAATAAATGGCTTCTATTTGCTGTATTCATTCATGTTTTACAAAGGGTTTAACCTGAGCCAGGCCTTACCACAATGATAATCATATCACAGTATCACACGCAGGCATAGTGTGATTTTTTTCTTTTTTTTTACCGCACTGGTATCAGTATCGGTACTCGGTATCGGCCGATACCCACAGCACGAGTATCGGAATCGGTATAGGGAGGACAAAAATGGTATCGGAACATCTCTACCTCAGTGTCATCCGAGCTGCAGCATATTCCTCTAGGTCCACAGTGCAGTCCCCCCTCAGAGCAGCAGTTTTAAACACACCCCAGTCTGTACTGTTAAACCAGTTCAGATTCTTCATTCCACACTTTAATAATTTTACTTACTGGGGAGCTCGTTTGAGGAGTTGTCTGTAGGCTGGGTAGAGGAACACTGAGATGTGATCTGAAAGTGCGGCCGAGGAACAGCCTTGTAGGCATCCTTCACATTACTATACACTTGGTCGAAAGTATTCTTCTTGCTCGTAGGAAAGCCCACGGGTTGATGGTACTTTGGTAGGACACTCCTGAGGTTGCAGTGGTTAAAATCGGCATAAAAAAACGGCATCTGGGTGTGCAGTCCCCTGCTTGCTGATGAGGTCCTGTAGCATTCCCAGCGTGGTCACGTGATCGGCCCATGGCAGAATGTAAACAGCGAGCAGAAACACAATGCTGAACTCCCACGGTATATAAAGGGGTCTGCACTTTAGCATTAAAAGTTCAGTGTCCAGTGAACAGTGCTTTTCAACAACCTGCACAACCGGACATTAGAGCGGACATTAGCCAGCAGCAGGCTAGGTAGCGGTGGTCGTGTAGTTCTAGCTTTTAGCCTAGCATGTAGCCCACCTCTCTTGCCTCGTCTCCGCCATGGGCGCACCGGTGTTGCTGTGTCCTGTCGGCTGGAGTTGGCTTGGTCCAGGCATAAGAGAAAGTCAAAGTCCAACAGGCACATCGCAGTGGGCGCCATGTTGTTGTTGTCTTGTATGCCAATCACTAAGTGACTGTCTTGCCGCTTGCACTAATGAGTACGAGAATGCATATTAACAGAATAACCCATAACCCTGCATGAAATGCTAACAGGGTGACCTATGCCAGCGTCGCATTTGAGAGGACTCCATAAGGGTCTGCCACTTGATTTGCTGATGAAAGAAATGAGTAGCTGTGTCCATTGACTAAAAAATATGGATGAGCTTTTGTTCAAACAGGTCAAAGGAGCGACTGAGAACCTTGAGAAGCTCTTCCTGATGACACCACATAGGATAGGAGTCCAATAAAACAACATTGCAAACACTACAAAAGAGTGATGAGTGCATGAATGCCCACTACCCAGAGATATCCACTCTGTATTGGAGTAAAGTCATTTCAGAAAATTGGAACATGTTGGGACAAATCTTAGGAAGAAGGTGTAAACCATCTAGCCTAGAGTGAAGTTGACCATATACCTTTCCTAAACTCTTAGAAAGGGAATGTATACTGATGTTCCATTTTCTCAAGGTCTAGAACAGGGAAATTGGATACTTAACCAGCTTACACTGTCCAAATATGTACAAGTAAAACAAATGAAGACCACAGTAATTAGTCATTATGATCAGAGAAGTATTTGTCTAACCACATCTGACCACATAGCTCACATAAAGTGTACTTATAACATGTAGTCAAATTAAGGGAAATCTATCATCTAATCACAAAAAATTTAACACAGGTTTTCTAAGTTTAGGCACAATGGCATTTTTATAATTCATTTTAAGTATTGATGTAAAATGAGAAGGTATCATTGACACAATTACAAAAGTGGAAATCATGTTTGAAATTTAAAGTTCAATTTTGAATTAGGGAAAATTGTACTTTGGTATGAAAATGTATAGTACATTCAGACCCTGATTGACAAACGCAACTGAGGATAAGATCGAAACCCCCTTGCATCAAAGTGCTAGTAACCTCTTCCTAGGGGTGCCTCACTACTGTATGTAAAATACATGAGGCAGAAGAAGATGACGCTATGGTAAAAATACTCACATCTTGTTATCATTGTTGTATGTTATTTGCTTGCTTGATACCTAAGTTGCTGTATGTCATATACATAGTCACCTTAAGTGGCCGGGAAGTAACAAGGGGGTGAAGATATTTAAATGCAGTTATGTAACCAGTAGATGTAATCTTTATGTACTATGATATCATCATATTGTATGTGGATTGGTCAGCAGGACTTTTGAAAACTTTTGGTGAAAATTTGAAGAGGTAACATTCTGTAATCTGGACACAAACTTGTAAGAGAATGCATTTTTGTTTTTGTGAGTGACAAGAGTAACTCAAGGGGGGAAATGTAGTGGGAAAATGCATTCAGGGATAAGGTTCTGTAAACATGAAGCAAATTATATTATGTTGTGTTATTCCATGTTTAATTTTACAGGCTTATAGTATAATTTTTTATGTTGATGTATGTTCATCCTTATGTATTCACATTCTGGTTGTCTCACCCTAGGTAGGAGAACTCACCAATAGACATCCTTGCGAAAGAGGCCACATTCTTTGGGAAAGAGGCATATAATAGAGTGATTTTCTTTGTTCAAGTCAGTTGTATCCTGGGACAAATCGGTTTGCTTGTATCCTGTGTGATGCAAATAAATCTTGCACGTGGAGTGAAACTGTCAATTCTCTTTGCTTTCTGTGAGTCTGTGTCACCATTCTGGATACCTTTAGTGGGAGTTTGTGGTTACTCACTATAGTCAGATAGCTAAAAGTTTAAGTCAGATAGACATCAATTGAGGAGCATTGAGACATGAAAAATTAAACCACAATAAATGTTTAAAGTGTTTTAAGAGTGGTTTGATTTATTATGTCTTAAGTATAAAGCTGGATATTTTCTATACTTATTTATTGTCAACAAATACCACGAAAGTACCAATACTGAATGTATTCTGTGCATATATTTGAGTCCTCTGTGACATAGCGCTCCAGAGTCGGATCGGCAATTGTGTATTAATCCACAAAATTGTTCCCAACAAATGTGCTGATTCCTCCTGTTTGAGTAACATTTGTTAAAAAGTACAGTGACCAGCTGTTTTAGGAAATTACGGATTTTTAAAGATTTACATCTTCAGTGAGAACTAATGGGTTTTGTTTCTGGTTTGTTTTTTGTAAGAATTATTGGAAATAGGAACATTTTAGAATATCTCCAGCTCTATCATTTAAACAGTCGTCTTGCAAAAGTCAGTCAATTGTGAGAATTCCCAATCATTAAGATAAAAGTTTGCACATTATGTTTGTGTGTTAATTTTTACTTTAAACTTACCACAACTGCTAATGTTCATATCGTGCAGCAGTATATTCCTGTCGCCATCAGAACAGTATAACTGTTGGCTGCTTATCCCCGCCTCTCCTCTCTGTTGCCATAGCTGCAGCCAGCGGATCTCACAGCCACAGGCAAACAACACCTCCTCTAAATGACTAGAGAGAAATAGAGAAAAAGAGCATTGACAATATTAGCAATGCGCTAAATCTCAACAGTGACATATTCACCTTCAAACTGCATGCTAGAGAAACAAAATGTTTGTCATTTCAAATGCCTAATATAACAGCACTAATATATGACCAAGACCTTCTAAATAATCCTCGTTAGGTGAAAAAATGGGATCCCCACACACACAGAGTTGAGTGTGCAGTAGGTGCAGTATTTCCCAGTGGGCCTTGACCATTTTAGCTCAAAATACAGATGGCAAATTAAAGCAGGCTGAGATAAGTTGATACATAGACATAAGTAAATAACAGCACTTCATCACACATACACATCAAAAATGTCTGGAATCCACAGAAGCTCACAGATTGGCAATTATATAATGCTGAAACCCGACGGGGGTATATTTCTGTGAAAAGTGTATTATATTTATTCTGGTGGAATGAGTCAGCCTTGTAACCATTCTAAAATACAACATTACCAGCAACCATGACACACCACTTAAATGTACAGGATTTACATTTTTGCAACTGTTGTTTTGAAGAACACATTAATAATAAGACTATAAAAGTCACGATGCCATTAAAATGATTACTATTTTGATTGAATTTTTGATGATTTTGTGTTTCAGCAATATTAGCTTGTCGGCACCTGGCAACTGCTTTTTGTAAACACACTACAGTTTCTGTAATATTAGATTGTTAGCCTCAGTGTACTTCTATAGATGAGAGCAACCCATCGGGTACCTGGCCATGCGCTAAGCCCATGCCCCCATTTGGGTAAAAACAGTACCTCTAATTTGACTGGCGATAATGGGGTATATGTAAATTCTGAGGTATTTTCCAATTTAATTCCATAAAATAAGAATACCATATTGCTTTTTCGCTATTAGCAAAAATCCTATGACCAACGAGGCAAACAACTATATTATGTCATTGCCAATCAACAATAGGTGTCATTATATAGTTATTTCAGTCTGCCTCCATGACAGTGGGCAGACCTGACATACAACTACTTTATTGAATTTCACATTTCTGACATCTGACACTGTTTCTGTTGTTAAGACAGTTTATTTTTCCGTTTTTGACGCCTGTCCAATGATACGTTACTGTAAACTAATTACACCGCTGTGGTGAAACAGAACCACTGTTGAGTTTATCAATCAACCTTTTACTATGCACAGAGAGAAGCAGAAAACAGGTGGGTTTTATCTCCACTTCCCACATTATTTTATGCTGTTCATAACCCCCTGCTCCACACTATCAAACCAAAAACTTTTTCAAAAGTGGATGTATGTGCTGCAGTTGGGCTTTTGCGAATAATATGGTAGTTTTACAGATAGTGTCCAAGAAAAAGGCTGTCTGATACTGTTACTTTGGTCCTCTGGAATAAACTGCCAGAACTGTGTCCACCTTCAAAACCAAAATTAAAGGGGACATATTATGCAAAACCAACTTTTTAATCGTTTGATTATGTACATTTGGGAATCTGGAGGGCCTATCAGCAGGCAAAGTGTGAAAAAAAATGACTCAGTAATGTTTTTGAGGGCTGCCTCAGAATACAGGAGATAAATCACTCAATTTCAGACAGTCAGAGTTTTTGACGTCAATTTGCCTCCATGCCTCCACTATACTATACTCCAAGTATAGTATAGTATAAGATACATAACATTGTTACTGAGCTAAAAGCCACATGCAGTTGTCATGGTTCAGAGTACCATTACCTTTTTATGTTTCGAGCACTGCTTCTTGCTACATTATATTATCCACACAATTAAAACAACATCTTCACAGAAACAGAAACAAACTAGTTAAGGCTTGGTTACATCAGCATTTAAAACAGCAGATTTCCACAGCAGAATGTATTCATTCCAACACAATTGTAGTTAAAGGATTCGTTCATGGGGGTGAAGTAAATCCACACAATCTTTTCATTTCAAGTTCAGGTTTGGTGAATGTGTTACATCATCTATAAATGCAGGACTCCAAGCAGGTCTGCAAGGCCAAGCATATCTGTTACCTACTGTACACCTGAGTGTCCAAAATGGAGGAAGCTGTTGGATAAACTGTGTTAACTTAAATTCCTGTTAGATAATGAGCTACACTAACAAGCAGACGAGTTTGCTAACTGACGTCCGATAGCATACCTTTTCATTTCACAAATCGGTGTACAATGGAGAACAAAATACTGGGGGACGTTATTAAAGAGACAAATATTGAGATTGAATAGGGTTAGAGTTAGCAAGCGAGTTAGTGGTTATCTCACCAGCTACAGCAGTTCACCAACTAACCGTGTGAGTATAGTCACTACATCACCAAGGTTAATCTAGAGCAAAGACATGCAGATTAATTTCCACTTTCACAGAGCTTTACAAAGTAAGTCACCTGGCAAATTAACTACAAAGTGGATCCTCCTCTGCTAGTTTGCTACAAGAGATACTGAGATTTCCAGACATTCTGTTCCAGTTGGACTCAAGACAAGTGTTTGAGATCATTTCTGCTATAGAAACATGGCAGTTCAACATGGCAGACTCCATAGAAGAGGACCCTCCATAGATGAAAACAGTTCTTTCTAAGGTAACAAAAAGACAATTCTTATTTTCAGGTGATTACACAAATGAAAACATACCTATGAATATTATATATTACATTTCTGACAAAAGATCCTCCTCAATGTTACACACTGGTACCTTAAGGGGAGTTAAATGTACCATCCAGTCTATTTAAAACTGACATTATAACGGGTTCAACAGAAAAGCATCAACAAGCCAATAAGGTTGCACTCCTCTATACAGTCATTGTATAATATGTCTGAAAAGGAGGGTGGTCAGACACATGCCAGAGCAAATAAAACATTAGCCTGCAGATTCATCTGCTTCCCAGTCTACTCTACAACAGGGGTATTGAGTTAAATGGACTGTAAACACACATGCCACACTGACCCCATTCACACACTGATGGCTGCCATGCAAGGTGCTCACCAGAACAGAAACTAATCATTTATACACACTCATACACCAATTCACAGCATCGGGAGCAATTTGGGGTTCAGGGTCTTGCTCAAGGACACTTCGACATGCAGCGAGAGGAGCTGGGGATCGAACCACCAATCTTCCGATAAGTGGACGACCAGCTCTACCTCTGAATCACAGCCGCCCTATAATCCTAACCAAATTTAATCATAACCAATAGCCATACGGACAAAATATCAGAATAAAAACTAGTTTGACAAATACCAAAAAAAGAGTTCCCTTTAACAGGGTTTTATTCTTCTTATGCTGAATTTCTGGGTAGAGACAAGAAAATATATGATTGTGTCATAGTGACCTACATTTGGAAACATCTTACCTTATAAGACTTACCATTTTTAGAAGCCTTGTATTTTACTTAATTGATTTACATGCCCTTCAAAATATTCCTCTTTCAGACATATCTGTTCTGTGTTTTCGTATACGTCATCTGTGGACTGCTATTTCTGCACTGGAGCTCCATGATACCACTATTTGTAGCTGATGGGAGACTTGTGACATAGCTATATCAGAAAGATTCATGGAGGTGTGAAGGACATAGAGTAGGAACAAGAGGGCATCTTTATTTTCCCACAGTAAAACAAGTAGTTACACTGCTGTTGACAGGAGAGAAATTGACAAATAACTGCATCTATACAGTTTTACTGGGAACAGCTGTAGGTGAAGGACAATTTTATATTTATTGTTACCAACTACACACAAGGCACATGCAGTCATACACCGTAAAATGCATGTTAAAAGAGCAACACAATTAGGACTAGTCATGGATACATATGTGTATGGCCCAAAGCTTTTTAGTTTAAGATTATCAGTCAAAAATATAAAAAAGCATCTTGTTTGGCCAATAATTAAAATTAAGAGTAAAAGGAAGAACTGTATGGACTACTTAGCAATCAGTTGGTGAAACAAGTAAACTTATGTTACTTTACCACCAATCAGTTGACAGTATAACTAACTATATGCTAACTACGTTCCAGGTCAATGCTGGTACACGCTGGACCAATCCTTGATCTGGACGTACATGGAAAATCAATATTGGCAAAATAAGTAATGTTCATGGTAAAAATAGGTAATATATAAATTAATATTGTATTACATTTTTTTGTAAAAGATTTTTTACCAACTGATTGAAATTTAAAGTTAAAGTTTATTTGCCTTTATATTTTATTTATTTTAATATTCTAACCACATTATTTATTGTTATATATTTCTGACTTGTCTCACAGCCTTTAATTGCCTATCTTTTGTCAGTTTCAGGGCACCACATACATACTAGTTTTATATACAATCACACAAACACACACACCCACACACACACACACACACACACACACACACACACACACACACACACACACACACACACAGATGAGATTGAGTAGTTCTTTACCACCCTGCAGGCATGCTGTGATAAATGTTAGCTATCTAGTGTGTGTGTTGGTGTGTTTGGTAAGGGGAAGGGGCAAGAGTAATGAACATTTGTTGATATGAACCCCAAGCTGATTGCACACAGGCACACACACACACTTTCACACAGATTCCCCTGCTTATACCCAACCTTGAGATCAACAGGTCCATATTACAGTCACAGGTTTGATAAATAGAACAAACTGGATTTATCTGAAGTAAAAAAGCTTAAGGACTGAAATACTGCCTGAATTACACTGAATAAAAAAACAAGCAGAGCCCAATCACAAGCAAAAGACTATCCTCAAAAGCTTTTCCAAATTCCCCCCCAAAAAAAATTAGAAAAGATTTAGATAAAACTCAACTACCAGATATGCGTTCTCCTCTCATAGCTGAGCTAGCACCATCCAGGACCTAACATACTGTTTCAGGCAAAAACTACAACAAATGGACCTTATAGCACCTTTCTACATGCCACATTCACGCTTTCACACAGTGATGGCAAAGCCCATAGAACAGAAACTAACTCATCATATTCACACTCTGATGACACAGCAT